CAAATGTCCCCTCAAATGTCCTCACAAATGTCCAGTCCTCACAAATGTCCTCACAAATGTCCTCACAAATGTCCTCACAAATGTCCTCACAAATGTCCAGTCCTCACAAATGTCCAGTCCTCACAAATGTCCCCTCAAATGCTCTCACAAATGTCCAGTCCTCACAAATGTCCTGACAAATGTCCTCGTGTGTTGTCCTGACAAATGTCCCCATGTGTTGTCCTGACTAATGTCCCCTTGTGTCTGTCCCAGATCCGCTGGCTGTCCATCCAGAGGGACGTGGAGAGCAAGCGACACGAGGTGGCCACGGTGCTGCCCGGGCTGAGGGCGGGTGGGGAGGACAGGGAGGAGTTCATTCATTGGCTGGAGGAGGTGGAGGGGAGGGTGGTCAAGCCACGGACACACGAGGACACACAGGTCAGTGGTCTTGTCACGTGATTATTATGGTCAGTGTTGTTGTGATGTGATTATTATGGTCGGTGCTCTTGTGTTGTGATTCTGGGGGGTGGGGGGATGTCTTTCGTTATAGTTTTACGACACTTGCAACACAAATCGGTAAAATAAGTGCAGAAGATTAGAGGTGTTACAAGAGAGTAACAACTACAAAAAAGAAAGAGGACGGGTAAGCATGATAAATGTTTGACAGGAAAGAAAGAGCAAACAACACCAGAGCACCCGTCAACCACCCACTGTCATGATTCAAAGCACAGCTGTTTTTGTGGTTGCTGTGTCAAGTTGAGGCACTTCCCTGGACATGTTTTACGTCCCAAGGAACACACTTTAGATCATTTAGGAGCGGGATGCTTTTATGTACCTTGTCAGGGCCAACCTAGTCTTAGAGGAATACATCCCAGCGGGTGGGTGGTTGGCGGGTGCTCTGGTGTGGTTTGCTTCTTCTTTCCTGTCAAACATCTATCGTCCTTATCTCCCCTTCTTCTTTTTTATGTTTGTTACTCTCTTGAAACACCTCTAATCTTCTGGCGCTCATATGACCTTTTATGCAGTTGCGAGTGCCGTAAAACCTCTACTACAACATCCCAGCGGACAGACGGGGATACTCAGTATTTACCCTCAACTCATGGAAGGGAACCCCCGTCTTCTGCATGTGGTGGCGAAGAGCCTAATCACTACACCACTTCTTCGCTTCCTCAGGATTACAAAGATCTATCTGACACTTTTGGCCGTTCTCAGTTACTCAGACCATGAGGTCAAAAATCAGATGCTCCATCTGTTCTATAACAGCTCTATCTTAGGATTATGTTGAGTCGTTATCAAGATGTTTACAGTTTCAGTTGAAAAAAGCCTGAAATAATGGAAAACTCAAAATGTTTTACATCCAATTTCTGGAAACTAGATACTGAGCTGACACAACTGTGTATATCTGAGGTAGCGACTTGTTAATGTCACTGATCTGTTTGTTTGTCTCTTCCTGTATGTATATATATATATATATGGATTATATAATATGTCATTGATCTCTTTGCTTGTCTCTCCCTTTGCTCTACTATCACCCACTGTAGCCAATCAAATGTCATCCTTTGTGATTGAAAGTTTTTTGGGGATAAACTGACTTTCCGTGGGGGGT